TTTGTTCACAGTTTTTGCTAGTTACTTAATCTATATTAGTTCAATGATTCATTTTTGTCTTTTAAAGATCATTTATTAATTAGCTGTGTATACAAGTTTGTTAGAAAGTCAGACATGGATTATCTTTTTTCTGAGATAAAGATCTTATTATGATCATATGATCCTATTAAAATACATCAGATCCTGTGATTTCCTGCTGCAAACCCTCCAGTGACCATTCCTCTCACCCCATCTTACAGTCATAACTCTTATTGATGGTCTAATATCCTACCTGATCTGCCCCAGTGCACACACCACCAAAGATCGGATCCTTGACCTCCTGTCCTACTACTCCAGTCCTCCCTCACTCCTGCTCCAGCCTCCTGCTCCTCCTCACTGGCTCCTACAGGAATTCCTCTAAAACAGAGGCATCTTTACACCTTGGGGTATTTGCACTACCTGTTTTGTCTGTTTGGAATATTCTTTCTCCAAATATGTGCAAAGCTCTCTTCCTCATCCCCTTTAAATCTTTATTCAAAGAACAGATTTTCATTTCCTGGTCATCAGATTTACAACTGCACAGATCCTTCCCTCCTAAATGTATAAACCTTTTCCTTCTTTATTTTTTCTACAACACTTAATACCATGAGACATTGTACATTTAGCCTATTTATTTTGCTATTTTCTTAGTTTCTTCATTAGAAGATAAGCCCCCTGATGGAAGGATTTTTGCATGTTCCTGTAACATTTTTGCTCCAACATCTAGAACAGAGACCAGTACGGAGTGGGTGCACAATGAACATTTGCTGAATATGAGAAAATCTCCACCCTGAAACTGCCAAAATAAATTCAAGTGGTGATAGAGTGACGACATTTATTTTCATTCACTTTGAATCTACTTGGATGAATGCTAGTGTTATTTCTTTAGTATTAGCAGGGATTTGAAACCAAAGGATCCAGATGGTCAGATATAAGAATGAAAGGCAGATAGAAATGTGACTTGAACTTGTGCCAATTTGGCAGCAACATCTGAGCAGCTCCTTCAGTCTGTATTCTTTACAGATTCTCTATGTTATCTCCCTAAATAGTCTGGTGGCTGCTCCTGAAGGAAAAAAGAAAATGGAAAAGCAGTTCTCAAAACTTTAAACACTGCTTGGTGTGTATGTCTCTGTTTGAGCTGACAGCCAATTTGATTTTTGAACACTCATTCAATTAAGTCCCACCCAACTTTTTTCATTAGTGTTTCCATTGATATGCATATAAATGATCTCATTCTATTTAAAAATCACAGTCTTCAAAAACCAATTCTACTGCTGCTGGATGACAGCAGTACAAAATAAGATACCTAAATTTGGAAATGTTCTGCTAAATCATGAGATAAGGAAAATGTATAGATTGAGGACGGTATCCACTTACAGAAATGTTTGATATTTTGGACAACATAGGATTTTAGAAGAGATTTGAAAATCTTTGACTAATAAGAAAAGAGGAGATGGATTAGCTAACAAAGACATTGAAGAAGAATTCCTCAATGAATTGGAAACACTGAAGCATCTATTTTTTGGCTTTAAAGAAATTTGAGTTTTGTAACATTGTGAGCTGCATATAATGACAGGAATGTAAAAGAAAGGAAGTTTGCTCCCATCAACATGTAAAGAAGTTGGAGAAAGAAATTCAGATCATCATTAATAAAGCGCATGACATCATCTCATAGAAATCATTTAAGAACTGAGGAAATTTTATTCCATTCTTACATCTGTAACAGGCTTTTATTTTTTAAAATAAGATAATTTGTTCTTAAATGCTTGCTTTCTGAAAGCAGTAATTTGCCTATGTTGCCTGGAACAGAATAATTATAGCAAAATATCTAAGACACAAAAAACTGAAGGTTTGATCTGGGAAGATGCAGTGAATTTTCCAGTTTTCTGAACGAATAAAGAGAAGAACAAAATAAGATAATAAAAAATCCATCTAATCTCAAACCAGTGCTTCCTTTTATTTTATTTATTTTACATACTGTGTGCCCAAGGATACATTAAGTCCATTTCATCAATTTATTATTACATGTAGGCAACAACCCTGAAAGGTTGACCTTAAATGGATGAAGTTAAGGCTTAGAGCTCTCAGAGAATAAAACCAAGCTATTTTTTGCTTGCTGAGTAAGGAAGAGCCTAACACTTGAGAAAATTCAGAAAGTTTCTCTGAAAACTCCAAAAAGCAGGACCAAGAAGTAATGTCTTCCTTATTAAGATGGATGCCATACATTACAGTCCATATTTGCCTTTCGATTGGGTATTTTTCTGGTTTTCATCAGTAAGTCATAAGTGCCAATTTCAAGGAGGTTTTATGTGGGTGAAGTCTCTATAAAGAGTGAACACTTGGGATATGGCAGATTGTTTCCTTAAAAGAGCAGATCAATTTCTTGCTCCAAACCACTCAGGTGGCAAGTGGAGGTATTGGAATATGAAATAAAATTGTTTTATTCTGAAATCCCTGTTTTTGTTTTTGTTTGTTGGTTGGTGGTTGTTGTTTTCCTATGTTACCCCTTAAACTCTTGGCTTAAAATAGTCTCATTTTAAAATATAATCTTATTCCAAAAGAAGAACCAGAGGAAAACTTCAGCAAATCCAGTCCTTTGTAAATATTTTGTTATCAGCTTTCTCAAAAAAATAAATGACCATAAAACAATGAACCATGGAATGACTTGTTAAATGTATACGAAAACATTTAAGTTAATGTGATTTTGAGGCTTATTCTTCAAATATTGTTTGGAATCCCTCCTATACAACCAAGAGGTAGGTATTATTATTATTATTTATAGGTGAAGAATTTGAGGCACAGAGAGTTTAATAAATTGCCCACCTTCACACCGCTAAAAAGCGTTGTATCTGAGAGTTGATCCAGGTAGTCTGACTTTGAAACCATGCTCCTATCATCTGTTATGTTGTCAACTACAGTGCTAACTACAACGGCTTAGGGTACAGAAGGAAGAGCAACTATAACTAACCTTGCTTTTAAACACAATGCTTAAGAATATGTTCATCACATAAACATCGTATAACTTTGTGATAAAATTAACTCCTGGTTCCCCATGAGTCTTCATACATTTTGAAGATTATCCATCACTGTTTGGTCACTCATCCAACTGCATGTGGGTTACTTTTTAGATAGGCCATCTCTAGAAACCCTAATTAGTAAGAATCGATGCTCCTGCTTTAGAAAACTTATTTGGATATGCTGGTCTGGCTGTTGGCCTCATCTATGTATTTTGAAACCTTGGCAAATTGCTTTTTGATATTATATCTGCTACTGGAGGCTGTTCTTTAGATTTTTATACTATTCATCATTTTTAATTATGTGGTTCAGTCTGTTAGTAGAATTTACAATATTCTCTGTTGGTGGTGATTTATTAAATATGGAAGAAAATGAAGCCTTGTTACTGTTACCAATATAAATGTCTGAATGGCCCTTCTGAGAATGAATAAGTAAAGCAAGACTAAAATGTCAGGTTCAGGGCTAGGCAGAGGCTTGGAATTATTAAGAAATAAAGAGAAGTCTTTGGTTTTGTTTTTTATTGGCTTGAGATTATACTAGGTGTAAAAGCCTACACGGTACATATACTTAATTGGCACATGATCTAATCTGCAAAAATCTACTTTCTCTACCAATATCCCTGTCATATTCCATTTTAGGTTTATTCAAAATAATACAATAATATAATTAGTCATTCTCTACCGCAATCCCCCTATATTATAACAAAGGAAAAATAGCCTTTGTATATCCAAAATAGAAGTTTAAGAAATTAATTTTATTCTCATTGTCCAGGAGTTTAAAGAAAATTAAGAGCACCAGTTCTTCCAAATTAATATTTTGCCCTATTTTTAGTTTCATCTCAGTTACGTTAAACTGGGTAAGAAAAAAATACCCTTCAAGGGTTTCCTTTGAGACCCATCATCCTTGCACTCTTTAGATCTGGAGAGATGTGGGTTTATTCCAGCTTCTTCTCGGTAGGTCTCTAGTTCCTTTGATGTCCTACTAGATAAGACCCAACACGACTCCACTGGCCCTCTCTTCCATGTGGTCTACATCTATTTCCCAGGAAAAATTTATGCATTGTTGTCCCTGCAGTTATAAGGAGTGTTGGCCACGCCCAATACAGTACCATTTTACTTGCCTTTGCCCCAAAGCACCTGCACTCTTGTCCTCAGTTACCCAGGCAGGAGTCAGATCCTGGCCCCCTGTCCTCATCTGCTTGGAGAAAGCAAGCTCTCCAGGTGGCTCCTGTGAAATCTCCTCATTAACTTGAAGCTAGAAGTTTGCTTCCATCATCATTTCCCCAAGTGAACATCCTAGAGACTCTTAATGAAACAATAATTCTTTCGAAATACATGTCTACTCTTTTATAGCCCTGAAGTGATTAAGGGTGGACAAGGATCTTGAAATATATTTCTTTGAAAGTCTGCATAGGAAGTTTTAGATGTTCACTTTGGAATTTTAAATCAATTGATCTTGGTGTTGGGGTGAAACTTTAATGTTAACCATTTTTCCAATTGTTGAAAACAGTATTCACCATTAGAGACAAGGAAAGGAGATCAGAGAAATTCCTTTCTTTTGGAGTCCTCGTGCTGTATTCGTGACTCTGCATTGGCGTGTTCTTCTTAATTGCCTAATTTAATCATTGCAACAACTCTGTGGGATGGGAATATTATTCCCAATTTGCAGAGGAGGAAACTAAGTTTCAAAGAACAAGATTTTAAGGTCATACAGATACGGTGAAAACAGAAATGTTTGACTGGAAAGCTCGTGCTTTTCCTGGTACCGTGCTACAGGGAAGACATATGTATCTAATCACCAATGTTGGCCTGCAATTGCCCAATCAATTTCTCAGATACTTACCTTCCTTTTGTAGACTTGGATATAAAAATGTATGAGGTCATTTCTTCTACAATGATTTTGAACATAGCACAAAATCCTAACGTTCGCTGAGTCTTAAAATATATGTTTAACATTTTTTTTTTCAGACGATAGATTTTGAAGGTTTCAAGCTATTTATGAAGACATTCCTGGAAGCCGAGCTTCCCGATGATTTCACAGCACACCTTTTCATGTCATTTAGCAACAAGTTTCCTCATTCTAGTCCAATGGTAAAAAGTAAGCCTGCTCTCCTTTCTGGTGGTAAGTTTAACTATTTACTTTAAAAATTTAAATATAGTAGAAACCGCAAAGGGAAAATCAGTATCAACTTCTCTGTAAGAGAAGAGATGATTTGCTTAAAAATCCCCTGTGTTCATACTTTCATCCTAAGACTGTGCAAAGTATTTAAAATGTCTCCAATCTAATAATAGCTAAATATTAAAGAAAATATAATTTATTATCCATCACTTGTCATTCATTGACTTAGAAGTCTATGTTTAAGTAATAATTTTAAGAGATACTTCCATCAAATACGGAAAAGTCCTCTTGTAAATGACTGGATAATGTATGTATAAAAATGTAGTCACAAAGCAGCTAGATGTAGAAGACATAATATTTAATATCAATTCCACCAATTACCAACATACTTTCACAGTTTTAGATTTGTAAGCTCAGAACAGAGTTTTGATTTTTCTCTTAGATACTTAAATTTTTGTCACCATAGAGATGATTGATTCTCTCATTAGTGTAGCTTTTTAGAGATGTCTAATACATTAATACCTTTTGCAAATTGTATCACTCTCTACCCAGTCAAGAAAACAGAAATCTCTCTGTATTACTTTAGAGAATGTGAAATAGGAAATTGTTTAAACAATGTTGGAGAGTTGAAAAAGCAAAGGTGAACACTGAGGTAATGCAGAGATAACACCACAGAAAGTGTATGCTGCCCCTAGGTTGGAGAAATCAAAACGCAGAAGCTTGGAGGAAGGACCTCTTAGAGCTGGGATGCAGAGTTCTGAGGAGAGAGTGTTGCCTGGCAGATCTTGCCCTTGGTCTTCTGTGGAGGGGACACTTCTGGCTGGCTTTGGCAGCTCAGGAGCTCAAGGAGGGGCCTGCAGCCATGGAAGTCAGACCTCTTAGGAGCGTCACTATGGTCTGTGCAGGACCATGTAGCAGGAGCTCACTGTGTCTTTCTTGGGGTGGAAATAAGCAGGAGACTAGAGCCTATTGCTGCCGGAACCATGTGCTGCAAGGGTGAAATGCTGGAGAGATCTAACAGGAAGTGCAGATAGACTAGCAGGAATGAGCCCCTTCCCCGTCCTTCTCATATCTCTCTAGTGCCCCCTGTGAACCCAACAGGTTTCCAGCTGGCAATGGAGAAGCGTAGTCTACGGCAGTGTTTCTGAAACTCTTTGATCTCAGGACTCTTTTGGGCTCTTAAGAATTACTGAAGGCCCCAAAGAGTTTTTGCTTATGTGGGTGATATCTATTGCTATTTACCATATTAAAGATGAGACGTTCTAAAAACAACGATGATCAACCCATTACATGTTAAAAAAATAGCAAACCTTTTAGAAAAAGACTATTTTCAAAAACCAAAAAAAATTAGTGGGAAGAGTGGCATTGTTTTACATTGTTGCAAACGTCTTTAATACTAGCTTCAGGGAAGACAGCTGAGTAACCATATCTGCTTCCGTGTTGCCACATCATATTTCATATAGCCTCTTGAAAACTTCACTGTACACTCATGAGAGAATGAGAGTGAAAAAAGCAAAGGATATCTCAGAATCATCATTGAAACCATTTTGACCTTACAAATCCCCTGAAAGGGGCCTAGAGTTCCCAGAAGAGCCACTGGTCTAGAGACTTCCAGCCGTAGTATCACAAAGTAGAATATCAAAGTGTGGGTAAAGAGATGAGAAGTTTAATAACTGGCACTCTAATAATAAAATTTTTAAACATATAACTAAGAAATAGGTAGTTGAGCCATAAAAACACTTGGGCAATCTGATGAAGAGATGCATTATTAATAAGCCTTATGTTGTGCTGCTTTCTCTTCTGTTAATGAAGAAAGATATTTTTCCTGGGGCCGGCCCCGTGGCCCAGTGGTTAAGTTCGCGGGCTCTGCTTCGGTGGCCCAGGGTTTCTCCAGCTCGGATCCTGGGCGCGGACATGGCACTACTCATTAGGCCAGGTTGAGGCGGCGTCCCACATACCACAACTAGAAGGACCCACAACTGAAATATACAACTATGAACTTGGGGAGAAAAAGCAGAAAAAAAAGAAAAGAAGATTGGCAACAGCTGTTAGCTCAGGTGCCAATCTTTAAAAAAAATGAAAAAGGTATTTTTCCTAGAGCAATCACATTTTGGTTTGAGCTTTTTTAAAACAAGTGTACACCTTCCACATAATATTATTTTGATCTCTTCAAAATATATAATAACTTATATGTGCATCATAATCTTTACCCATAAAATATTTTTAGTTCCTTGAATAATTCCCCTTACATCATGAATTGAAAGGACTCACCGCATTTGCTGTTTTTCTCTGAATGTGTTCCATTAGGTCTGTCCTTAAAATGTGGTATCAGAGTTTACCAGTGTTCTGGGCTGAACATTTTAAAATGGGACAATTCCTTATTTTGATCTAGTAATTAAAACTTCCCTGTTCACCATTTCATGCTATAAATGCATTCCAAATGCCTTAGACTGAATAAAATAACAAAGTTACCCCTTATTTAATTTTACATGAAGCAATACTGTCCTTGGGTTTTGAGAAAGAAGGAGGAACATTTTTTGATATGTTATCTGTCTGAGCAATTGTGTCAGACTTGAAGGAAAGAGAACAATTCTAATTGCTTAGGTAATTTTGTGAGAAATTCAAATTTCAAACCCTCTTTTCTTCAAATAGCATATAGTAAGTACAACATAGAAGACGCCAAATTTACAAGGAGTAGACATCAAATTAAGTTTCAAAATGGAAAAAAAATAAGGAATAACAGCTTGTACTTCATTTGAGACAATCAGATGTTCTGTACGAATCTACTTGAAAGGAATTACAAGATAGCTGTGTAACAACCCTCATGCGACAATAACAACTTAAACTGTGATTTCTTTTCAAAGCTTGGCCTCCACATTTTAAAACATAAGTGCATAGTGTCCTTTGTAGGATGGTTTCTAACCCTATATTCTTTTCAGACTTATCTTTGATAGTTTTCTTTTTCTTTTTTTCTGGAGAATAAGGAACACTAGACAACAAGAAAATTTTCAGGGACTGGAGTAGCCTTGCCTCAGAAACTGAAAAATAAATGTATTTTTATTCCTAGAACCTTGCTTTGCAATAATCTAAGTTATCTACACAAGATTTATTTGTACTTGAAAAATCACAAATCATTCTTGAATAGAGAAGTGCTATAATCTGCTTTGCTTATCCCATTTCAGAGTTCACCAAATTTCATTACCACAATACCATAAGGAATATGATAGCTATTCTTTTTTTTTTTTTAAAGATTGTCACCTGAGCTAACAGCTGTTGCCAATGTTTTTTTTTTTTTTTCTTCTTCTCCCCAAAGCCCCTTGTACATAGTTGTAGATTGTAGCTATAGGTTCTTCTAGTTGTGCTATGTGGGGCGCCTCTTCAACGTGGCCTGATGAGCGGTGCCATCTCCGCGCCCAGGATCCGATCCTGCGAAGCTCTGGGCCACTGAAGCAGAGCGCAAGAACTTAACCACTTGGCCACGGGCAGGCCTCTATGATAGCTATTCTTGACTCCGTATACCAGCTGAACACCAAGGGCTTCTCAGTAAAAAGCAAAATTAAAATGAAAAAATATTATTCTTGTTAATAATAATCAAGTAGAGGAAATATGGTAAAATTAAACAAGTTAGTTTTTATAGGATAAAAATTTTAAAAATAATTATAAAGAGGTGTAAAGGGTGTGTGTGTGTGTGTTGTGTAGTTGTATTTTGTTGAACTTAGAATACCTAATGATCCATCTAGCATTTCATGCAGTGGATGATTTATTTTTTGGAACATTTTATTGCAGCATGCATGACTCTTACCACCTTTTTTAAATATAAGGTGATTACTTCTGCTGTTCTCGATTGGATTTTTGACTTTTGAAGATTTTTCTCATAACCTCTTCTGCTTCATTGTAAATGCCAGCTCTCAAATGCCTCACCTCTTTGCCAATCCAATGACTAGCTTTTTTTTTTTTGAAGATTTTATTTTTCCTTCTTCTTCCCAAAGCCCCCCAGTACATAGTTGTATATTATAGTTGTGGGTCCTAGTAGTTGTGGTATGTGGGATGCCACCTCAGCATGGCTTGATGAGGGGTGCCATGTCCATGCCCAGTATCCGAACTGGTGAAACCCTGGGCCGCCGCATTGGAGAAGGTGAACTCAACCACTGAGCCACGGGGCAGGCCCCGACCAACTTCTGATCTTGCCTTCATCCCTAGATCTATCAGTTGAACTACTTTATGCAAAATTGTTCAATCATTTGGAAACTTTCTTTTCTGCAAGTGGCTCACAAACCTTCAACCATGAATCAATATTATGATCTCGTATTTCAGTCCCCACAACTTGAACTTTGAGCATAACCTGAGAGAAATTTCATAATTATGCAAATTGCTGTCACTACAAATTCCTAACAACCAGTATTGGCATGGCGTTAGCACCTCTTCAGCTTTTTAAAAGAATCTATCATAAGGAGTATTTATTCCTCATACTCTGTCCTAGATCAATTAGGTTAAACTTTCTAACACCCTTAGTTTACTCAAATCTTTCCCCTCTTTCTCAACAGATGACATTTTTCATATCATACAAAAAAATAGGCACTGTCTAACATAAAATGCCTCAATTATCCCACACACAACCCAGGACTGTTTCCTCAGCTCATAGAGAATGTATATTAACTATACTCCAGATGGAGCTCTTCATCTGGGTGTCTCATAAGGAATCAAACTAAATGTGTCTAAAAGTCAATTAATTATGTTCTACCCCAACCTGCTTCTATTTCTGTCTACTCTCGTGGTGAATGGAACCCAAGTGTCTGTCAATTTCCCAACCCTAAGATCTTGGACTCTTCCTACCCTTCACTGCCTCACCCCTCATTTTTGGTTAATCCCAAAATGCTCTCTATTATTCGTTATAACTTCTTTTCAGACATTCTGCCAGTGTCCATTTGATTCAGCATTGTTTGTGTCCTAGACTGTTAGTTAGCATGGCTCCCAGCGGGCCCTGACTTCCCATCTCCAAAACG